CCCCTACCCTTCTTAGGCTCTAGTATCCTCTGTTCTCCTTTTTACTTCTATAAGCTCAATTTTTTTTAGCTTCCACCTATGAGTGAGAACCTGTGGTGTTTAACTTTCTGTTCCTGTTGTATTTCACTTAATGTCCTCCAATTCCATCCATATTGTTGGGAATGACAAGATACTATGTTTTTTTCAATGGCTGAATTGTATTCCATTATGTGAATATACCACATTGTTTTGTATCCATTCATTTGTTGTTGGACGCCTACGTTGATTTTCTTGTTGATTTTCTTTATTCATCCGTGTTGGACACCTAGGTTGATTGGGTATCTCAGGTATTATGAATAGTGCTGCAGGAAACTTGGGGTTGCAGATGTCTCTCTCATACACTGATTTCCTCTCCTTCGGATAAACGCCCAGTGGTGGGATTGCTGGATCGTATGGTGGTTTTATTTGTAGTTTTTTAAGGAACCTCCATATTGTTGTCTCTAATGGCATTCCCACCAAGTGTCTAACGGTTCCCTTATCTCTGAACCCCACTGGCATTTGTTATTTTTTGTCTTCTTGATACTAACTCTCCTAACTGGGATGAGATCATACCTCATTGTGGTTCGCTTTGCATTTTCCTGGGCAGCTTGTTTATAGACAATCAGACTGAACAGAGGTGATGGCAGTACCTTTTTAGGTCTCTGATAAAGCACAGCTGCATGAGGCACAGTGCAGGCTGTTAATGTTTTATTTTAGGGAAAAGATCCACTCACTCTGGGCTGCTGCAGACTCTCCTTGAAAAAGGAAAAAAACCCCAAAAAACCAAAACATCATCCAAGCAAAGAACTTGGTGCTTCGTTTATCTCTGTCTGCTTTCCCACTTCACATCTCACACATGTCCAGCTTCTACACTGGCGTCTGCTGTCCAGGGTCGAGAAATTCATGTAGATCTGAAGATGCTCGTCTGCAGCCAGGCCATCATAAAAGGAAGATGGACTTGACCAGGGAGAATGTAGTAGGCATTGAGCCCACCACCCAGAGGGAGGCTGGTGCCACCCTTGCCAGGATGTGAATGGGACGCCATGACCCTGTTCTCTGTGTTGTTGTTCCCAGACCCTAACGGATCAGGAAATTGAAGAAGCAGAACTGAGCGATCAGCAGAAAGGCCGCCGTCTTTGTGGGACGTCACACGTCAGGTGAAGACATCTTAAATCGGATGCCGTTTGTCATCCTCATCCTTCTTAAAGGAGACAAGAAGTCCTTGCTCTCACCCCCTAAGAAGGGGCCACTGTGAAAGGCCAAATAATCAGAATAAAGGATAGCCTCTCACATTACATACTTTTGGATTCACTTAAAAAAAATTCCCTACATGGTTCTTGTTTTTCTCGTATCACTCAAGAATTGGGAACCACAGCCCTGGACTTGTCTGGGTTTAGGGGCCTGCAGTGGAGACCCTTGTTCCAGCTGCCTTAAGGAGTGAATCAGTGAACCACAAAGTACCACTTTCAGATTGCTTTTCAGATGCCTCCTTGTACTAATTTCCTATTGCTGCTGTGATGAATTGCCACAAACTCAGGGGCTAAAACACGAGATTCAGTGTCCTAAAGTGCAGGTGTCAGTGGCCCATGCTCCCTCGGGGCTGTGGGGGAGCCTGCGCTTCCTCACCCCTTCCAGCTTCCAGAGGCCACTGTGTTCCTCAGCTTGCTTTGCCTCTTTCTTGCATCTCTTCGACCTCCTCTCCTTGTCTCTAACTCTCACTCTCCCGTCTTCCTCTTTTAAGGACCTTTGTGATTACATTGGGCCCACCTGGATGATCCAGGATTACCCTCATCTCAACCTAATTTTTTTTTTTTTTTGAGACCAGAGTCTTGCTCTGTTGCCCCAGGCTGGAGTGCAGTGCACTGCAACCTCCGCTCCCAGGTTAAGTGATTCTCCCTGCCTAGCCTCCTCTAGGAGCTAAGAATTACAGGTGCCCACCACCTCTTCCTGGCTATCTTTTCTGTATTTTTAGTGAGACGTGGTTTCACCTTGATGGCAGGCTGGGTCTTAACTCCTGGCCCTCACGTGATCTGCCTGCCTCAGCCCCCAAAATAATCCCCCCAAAGTGTTGAGGATCCCAGCGCGTGAGCCACCAGACTACCCAGCCAAGTCCCTGGAATTCAATCACCCTCGCAGTGGCCCTGTGCCCGTGAAAAGGTGACCGGGCAACCTGGGACCTTGGAGTCCATCTTTGTGAGCTGTTACTCGATCTGCACCTTTTGCCCGTTCTCCTCTCTGTCAAAACCTTGCAAGTGCTTTAATTGTGTCTTCCATGGTATGATATTTTAATCATTAATTAAAACAAAGGGCTAGGCCTAGCACTGGGGGCTTGTGATCCTTGACTGGGTTGCATGATTTGGGCCATGTGATAACCCCCCCTGAGGCTCTTCTTGTTCTCTTATCAGCAAAATCATGGGTGTCCCTGGCTCACTTCATAGTTAGAGATTAAGAGTTTCCACGTACCATGTATGAGATTTTAATCACTGCTTCCCACTGTCTGCTTTAGGGATTGGGAGTAAGCGTATTTAGCAGGTGATAACAGGAAACAACAAAATGTGCTTTACAATACCACAACACTGAATGTCATTACCCACATCTTATACATTACGGTTATTTTTCCCCACATCTAGAACAGAATTAGCCGTTGCTGCGGGATGGCCGGTTAAGAACTGTGATAAATGCGTTATGGTTCGCTGAAGGTTTAAGAAACTGAAACTCATGCTGAGCTGGGGAAGTCCCAGCCGCCTGCCCTGGGCCTTCCTTCCCATCTGATGCACCTTGATTTCGGTGTTACAAGGATTCACTGTAAAATACCTAACATAAACTAATAACTACTAAATAACATCTTTCAGTGAGGACACTTAAATTTCAATGATTTTTGGGGAAAATATAGGAAAATACCTGAGGAAATAGAATTTTCAATATCATAGGTACGACTTTTGATATTACAGAATTTTGTGCACATGTGGCAAAGTGCTTGCTTTGGCTTTCTAAAAAGAGTTCAGGGTAATGGTAGATGTCTTTGATAGCAGTAAAAAAATACAACAAAGAAAGGCCTTCACCGTTCACCTGGTAGTGGTCACCATGGACCCCGTTGTGCCAATCCAGCATGGGCATCATTTTCTCTAAGACACAGAACGCACACACAATTCTGTGAGGTCAGTATTCTGTCCTTATTCTGGCCATTGCGAACCTGAAGATAGAGCAGGTTGTTTGCCAGGGAGGCAGGCGCCCAGGTGCTCGGGGAGAGGTGCCACCCTACCCACTTTAGCTGTCTGTAGAGACCATGGACATGAACACCAGGAGGCTGCGTGCCCCTGAAATTCTGGACTTACAGCCCAAGGCTCAGCTCAGGCAGCTTGGGTTTATGGAGGCCATTCCTTGTACAGCTAAGCACTGTCCTGTCCTTGGAGGTGTGGGCAGGAAACATTGAAAGGGGGGTGGCTCTGCTCTCTGGTGACTTTTCTTCAGTTGGGAACTTTTTTTTGTTTTGAGACGGAGTCTCGCTCTCTTGCCCAGGCTGGAGTGCAGTGGCCGGATCTCAGCTCACTGCAAGCTCCGCCTCCCGGGTTCATGCCATTCTCCTGCCTCAGCCTCCCGAGTAGCTGGGGCTATAGGCACCTGCCACCTCGCCCGGCTAGTTTTTTGTATTTTTTAGTAGAGACAGGGTTTCACCGTGTCAGCCAGGGTGGTCTCGATCTCCTGACCTCGTGATCCGCCTGTCTCGGCCTCCCAAAGTGCTGGGATTATAGGCGTGAGCCACCGCGCCAGGCCAGTTGGGGACGTCTTAACACACACATCTGAAATAAGACTGGCTCATACAGAACAAGAGACGGGAAGCTTTGTGTGGTGCCAGGACTGTTTGGAAGAGCGGAGTTGAAAGATCAAACACGGACTTGGGTCTGGCTTTTGTGATGAGGTGCACCCAGTGGGAAGGCCCAGCTGGCGAGGGAGAAGTTGGTACCCAAAGATATGGGCTGAACCGGCTTCTTTCCTTCAGTAGAAGCAAGGACCCAGGGAAGGGAGCGTGTGGTGGGAAGGTACGGTGGCCCGTGCTTGCCAGAGGAGTTTGCACATGACATGGTTTAATTTTAGAGGATTTTAGAGGTCTGCCACAATGAAGGTGCCTTTTGTGCGTAGCCTCGCCTGGCTGGGCTGTGGAGGATGGATGGATGAGAACTTTGATCGGGGATTTTGAAGATGAGTTTTATATTGAATGCTATATCCTTTTAGGTAGAGGCTGTTGGGTGGGAGGAACATTAATATATATATTTTTAAATTGAGGGTGGGCTAGTCGAATACTTTTTGGGCCTTAAAACACTTTGTAGCATCCTTTTTACACCAGTGACTGTTGCCTTTATTCTATAATGCATGAGCAAAAGTGTGGTTTGAATTTAATGGTATGACTTTTTAGGGGCTTATGTAGGAGCAATATTATCCTTTTGCAAAATAGGAACAACTTTATGTCAGGATAAACATGGGATTTCAGACATTTCTTGCTTATCATTGTCAGTTTTAAGGATTTCTTCTAACATAGGACATATTTTTGTCTACTGTGATTGTAATGTCATCTATTGGTTTAATATCAACATTGCAATATGATAATTTTTTGTTAATTTGATTTCCCAAGGATATTTAGTCCATGTGCAATTGATTGATAGTTAGAAAAATAAAAAGAATCTAGTAGTGGAAATAAAAGATAGTATTGAAGTGTCGATCAGAATGCTGTTAACAATGTCTTCTTATGTCAGTTATGGTCATCTGGCGTCGCGGGTAGTTATGAATTTCTCCTCCTTAAACTATTGACCCTTTATGTTTGTCTGAAAGAAAAGGCCACTTCTGTGGGTATCAGAGAGGATGATCCAGGCAGCGACTGAACGTATTTCAGTATTAAAAACAACAACATTAAAACAAGCCAACACGACTCGCATGGTCACTTCTATCTTTACTATTACTAATATATTTCCCCTTTTTCATCACAGCTTTTTATAACTATGATGCCAGAGGAGCGGATGAACTTTCTTTACAGATCGGAGACACTGTGCACATCTTAGAAACATATGAAGGTGCGTATGCCTCTTGGTATCTTTTCTCGTACATGTTTGAGTAGATGGCACACCTTCTCAGTGCCTGCTGGGCAAAGCATTCCTCTGTTACATAGACAGTCATGCTCCCTTCTCAGGCTCACTTTTCTTGCAAATGGATCCTGTTTCACGTAAGGGTAGTAGTGAGGCTGTGTGTTGTTTAGTACTTTATTAAGGTGAACTTAAAACTGAAATTCCCATTTGTAAACTCATTGGCTCCTTATTCTGCAAGCACATGTAAATCTTTTTTTTTTTCTTTTGAGACAGAGTCTTGCCTGAGTGCACTCACCCAGGCTGGAGTGTCGTGGTGTAATCTCAGCTCACTGCAGCCTCTGCCTCCCAGGTACAAGTGACTCTTGTGCCTTAGCCTCCCAAGTAGCTGGGACTACAGCTGCCTGTCACCATGCCTGGCTAATTTTTTTGTATTTTTAGTAGAGACTGCATTTCACCATGTTGTTCAGGCTGGTCTTGAACTCCTGACCTCAAATGATCTGCCTGCCTCAGCCTCCCAAAGTACTGGGATTACAGGTGTGGTCCACTCTGTCTGGCCAAGCGTGTGTAAATCTTAATTATTAATAGTTGACCACTTTATAAAAAGTAGGTTTAAGATATTTTAGTTTACTTCATTGTTTTGTTTTTGAGACAGGGTCTTGCTCTGTCACTCAGGTTGGAGTGCAGTGGCACAATCACAGCTCACCGCAGGCCGCCTCTACCTCTTGGGCTCAAGCAGTCTTCCCACCTCAGCCCTCCAAGTAGCTGGGACTGCAGGTGCATGCTACCATGCTCCGCTGATTTTTATATTTTTTGTAGAGACAGGGTTTCTCCATGTTTCCCAGGCTGGTCCTGAACTCCTGAGCTCAAGTGATTTGCCTGCCTCGGCCTCTCAGAGTGTGGAATTACAGGCGCGAGCCACTGCGCCCGGCCTGCTTCATTGTTTTGATGTGTTTGATGTGAACTGAGACTTTTTCTTTTAATGTCCTCACTTAGATTTATTAGCAGTATGTCTCAGAGGAACCACAGTTTTCATATCTCTTATTTCCTTTCCTTTTTTTTTAAACCTGTAATACCCATTTTCTTGGGATGAACAGAGATTTATCACAGTTATATGGGATGCCATCCAATGAAGCAATTTTTTTTTTTTTGAGACGCGGAAGTTTGCTCTTGTTTCGCCAGGCGTGGAGTGCCAGTGGCATGATCTTGGCTCACCACAACTCTGACCTCCCGGGTTCAAGCCGATTCTCCTGCCCCAGCCTCCCAAGTAGGCTGGTGATTATAGGCATGCGCGCCACTGCACTCCACCTAAATGTTGGTATTTTCCAAGTAGTGACGGGGTTCTCTCCGATGCTTGGCAGACTGTGTTCTCCAACTCGCGACCATAGGGTGATTTGCCCACCTCGGCCTCCCAAAGTAGTGCTGGGATTACAGGTCTGTTGGAAGCCCACCATGCCCGGCCTAAGCAATTGTTATAATCTATCCGCAATAAGACCTGGCGTTGGTGACAGTGGTTTTCCAATGTCCTTGACTTTTCAGACAGTTTGTTTTTGTATTTTGTGTTTTGCAAATAATTTGAGCAGGCCATATTTCATTTTATGCTGTGGTTATTGTTGCACAGAAGGGAAGAAATGATGGGCTTGATTTTTTAAAGACTGTTCAGATCTGGAGGTTTTGGTAAGATTGTGTTTTCTTATTGTTGTCGGCTTAATTTCCTGCTTGAAAGGGTGGTTCCCATATAGCATATGAATAAAAAGGATAATTTCAGTAGCAAAATTGCTTTTTCACAAAGGGTTTTAGCAAAACCCTTCCACATAGGAGGTGGGGGTGAGAGAGCAAATCGAAGACATCCCGTAGTAATCACCAAATTGAACTTGCAACTTGAAATCCACTTTACGAGGAATGAAGTAGTGTCAAGCTTCCCAGCTCCAGGCAAACTGTGACCAGCTCCTGGTAGACTCCTCTGAGAAACACAGACCTATTAACAGACCCATGTTCTTGGCCTTTTTTTCCCCTTTTGTTGCTTGTTTTCCTTTCCTTAAAAAGTTCTTTTTTGAAAAAAAAAATCGTCTTTAGTGGCCTCTGCCTGGAAGCCAGTGCAGCTCTGCAAAACCAGTCCCAGTCCTTAAGCAGATGAGTAGCTGTGATGGGGGCTTCTGCTTATTTTCCGTGTTTACATCTGACAGCTGTGTTCCCTTAGCTCCTCTCAGTACATGCTGCGTGTGCCTGAGAGGAGACAGAGAGAAATTAAGTAGAGGTTAAGGATCAAACCACTCATCTCAGACACTTTTCTGATCTGAAGGGAAATGCTCTTGTATCTTTTTTTTACTTTTGCTGCCGGTCAGTTGAAGTTGAAATCCTGGTTAACAAACACTGGGCAATGATGTCATTCCTGAGTAGTTAATGATTTCCTGTGGCCCCTGGGCATGTGGGGACTGCAGTCTTGTTCTTTGCTTCTTAGGAGGAATGTGTGTGTGGTGGTGTTTTTTTTTTTTTTTTTTTTTTTTTTTTTTTGAGATGGAGGCTTGCTCTGCTGCCCAGGCTGGAGTACGGTGGTGCAACTTCAGCTCACTGCAACCTCTGCCTCTTGGGTTCAAGGGATTCTCCTGCCTCAGCCTCCTGAGTAGCTGGGATTACAGGTGCCCGCCACCACGCCCGGCTGAGGAATGTGTTTTTTAAACAGCGAATCCTCAGGTATGACTGTGGTCCTTGTAATACATGCAACTTTAAGAATATCTGATTGCAGGCGTTTGACTTTTTGACCGACATCATGATAAGATATCTACAGTGAACATTAATTTTCTGGGCTAGTCAGTCTTTCTAGATTCTGATGAAAATATTTCAGTCTTTGTAAAGACTCTTTAGCATAAAATGAATTTCCATTCCTTGTCAACTAACTTTTTGGTTTTAATCTGAATCTAATGAGAGAAATGCATTTGGAGAAGTATTAATAGTTTTGACTTTGGGAAGCATGGTGACTTTTTGTCATTAAATAAAAAGAGAATAATGTACTTCCATTTGTTTTCGAATGTCTTCCTCTTGTTTTGTCTAAATTTCATGACTTGTATTAGAGTCTGGCATTTTCTTTTTCTTTCCTTGGCTCTCCTTTTCCTCTAAGACAATTTTTTGGTTTAGCAATGTTTATTTTCTTTTTTTCTATGATCCTTTCCAGGATATTATAGAGCTTGCTCCAGAGGATATAATTTCTAGATGATAACTCTTTATTTTGAGGTTCAAAGACTAAATTTACCTTCAAGTTATGGTTAATTTCTCTTTCTCGAGCTCACGAAGGCTCGACATAGAACAAAGAAAATGAACTTTCTAGCTCCTGGTGGAAGTGGAAAGAGCTTTGAGAGGTCATGTTGGTGCAGACCCCTGCCTTTAAACAATGTCCTGGGCCAACCAGATAGGAGAGGTGAGGCCAGGTCCCTAGTGTTGATTGAGTGACTCTTGTCTGGTCAAGGGCATGCCACATGCCAATCCTGTTGTCGACTTGTTTCCATAGGGTCCCCAGGGCTTCCTTAGGGTCCTCAGAGTGAGATGCTGCACCAGAGGCAAGCTGCAGGCATTGCCCAAGGATGAGGAAATTGTCCTTCAGATTCAGCCACATTCAAACTTAATTTATTCAACTCTTCAAAAGGGATAGTGATACGTTTTCTTCTGTAATGACTAGACCGCCATTTTCCTGTGCTGGACTGTGCCGTCCCGGAGTTCGGGACCTGTGTCTTGCCTGCATTTGCTTGTTCCCTGGGTGGATGTCTCTTTTCTTGGAGCAAGTTGGTTTGACTACATGGAGGCCACTTGCAAGCCGTGCCAGGGAGAAGTTAATTCTATAACAGCTGTGAGTCTTTCTCCTCCCAGCCTCATCCCCTCTTCGCTGTGTCCCCAGAGCAGCCAGGTAATGGTTCTGTTCTGTTCTCTCACTCTCCGGTGCAAAACCTCTGCCGGGACATCCTCTCTCCTTCATGCTGAACTCTTGTCTTGCAGCAGGGTTTGTGGTGTGACCCCTGCTTGTCTTAGGGCCCTTCCAGTTTCTGAGCTCATGGAGGACAGAGATTGGGTCTCATCTCTTTCTGTATTTGTGGTGCCCAGTGTGGTCTCTGGCACATGGTGTGTGGGCTCACTTTGTTGAAGAAATAGTGCATGCCAAAAATCATGGGGAGGAAAACCGTAGGTTTTCATTTTGCTTAGGAATGCCATTAGAAGAGGAATCGACTGTCTATGAACATGAAATAAAGACACACAACTCCTTGCCTTTCATGCCTACTGTTTGGCCCTTCCTCCTCCTGCCTCCCGTAGAAAACCTTTCTGCTGTGTTTGAAGTGGCCTCTCGTTTGCCTGTGTTCTTGTGCTGTTTGGTGTGCATCTGTTTTTAACAGATGTAAGTGTGTGGTTATAGTCTTGTTCTGTTTGTTATTTTCCCTGGTGCTCCATTTAAATTGTACTCCGTTCTCTGTGTCCCTTTAGTCCATGGCTCTAACTGCATTGTGTGCACATTTCATGTTTTACTAACTGCCTGCCTCACCAGGTGTGAGCACTTAGGCTGTCCCCGCTTCCCACCACCCAAGACCAAGCTGCCCTGAGCATCCCGTGTCCGTCTCACCCTGCAGGGCACACAGATGTCTTTGGGCTGCGTTCTCAGGAGGGGGTTGCTGGGTCTCGGGAGTGGAGATGTAGACTTTGGATAAGCAGGGCCTGTGCTCCCAGGCTGGTGGCCGCAGTGGACACTGCCGCCCACGGTGACCAGGGGCTTCCTGCATCCTGCAGTGTTCTGCCTTCTGCCATGCTTAACTGTGCACTTTTCATTTCTCCGATTATTATTAAACTGAAGCATCTCTTCATACATGTGGAGGTCTTATGGGTTTCTTCTGTACATAGTTTATAAATTTGCTCATTTTCTTTCTTTTTTTTTGAGACAGAGTCTTGCCCTATTACCCATGCTGGAGTGCAGTGGCACAATATCAGCTCACTGCAACCTCTGCCTCCCTGGTTCAAGTGATCCTCCTGCCTCAGCCTCCTGAGTACCTAGGATTACAGGCATGCGCCACCACGCCCAGCCAATTTTTGTATTTTTAGTAGAGACGGGGTTTTGCCATGTTGGCCAGGCTGGTCTTGGAACTCCGGACCTCAAGTGATCTGCCCACTTCGGCCGCCCAAAATGCCAGGATCACAGGAGTGAGCCACCACTCCCGGCCTCATTTTCTTACTGTACTTAGTCGCTGTCTTTTTTTGTCTCTGTATTATTTCCTTATATATTCTAAGACGTTAATCTTTGTCAGTTTCAGAAAAGAAAGGACATGTTAATGTTGAAAATGCAGGAAGACTATAATAGGATAAAGGACAGTTGTTGAAATTGAGTACGCAGCTTCGCATAACTCATTCAACTGACCTTTCTTTTTCCTTCTTGATATACGAGCACTGCATCATAGATGGGCGCTGATACTGGGCCAGCTTATCAGAACCACTGAACTTGACAATATGGCTATCAGGAGATAATCCTTCAAATGTGTGGCTGAAATCTAGGCATTTTGTATCTGAGGTTCCCCCTAATCAGTCTGTTGAGTCTCCATGTCAAGAGAGTGAAGTGAGTTCAGTCCGTCGTAACTGGGTCTTAGCAAAACCTTTGCAAGAGTCCTGGCGGTTTCGGTCCTCTTTTCTGGATACGCAGGAAACAGCTGTTTAGTAATCCCGTGGGGATTCTGCTCGTCTTGACACCATTGCTTTCTGGTTCGTAGTCATCCTTTCCATCCCTGGTTGTGAGAATTCACCTTTTGAGAGACGTGGAGGCCAATTGCTGCAACAGTGGCCCTTTTTCACATCTGTCTGATCTTTGGTTTCTGAGGTTTGACTTTTTAATAGTGTAAAGTGACGGCGTCGCGTCATACAATCCTGGCCAAGGTCTATGACGATCGAGACCATCCTGGCTACACGGTGAACACGCCCCGTCCATCTACTAAAAAATAAAAAATACGAAAAACTAGCCGGGCGAGGTGGCGGGCCGCCTGTTAGTGGGAAGCTGAGGCAAGAATGCGCGTAAACCCTGGGAGGACGGAGCTTCGCGCAGTCGAGGTCTGCGAGATCCGGCCCACTGCAAAAAAAACACTCCAGCCTGGGCGACAGAAGGCGAAGCACTACGTCTCAAAAAATAACAACAAATTAAAAAAAAAAAAGAAAACCCAATATTGGTTCTCTCTGGGAATTTAACCACCCAGCTTAAACGTTTTCCAAAGTCCTCTGTCCGCTCTCCTGCGAACAGGGGTCCTTTGTGCTGCTATGGGGCAAGAGTTGGGATTTGTCTTGATTTTCTTTTCCTTTGTTTTTTTTTTGAGATAGAGGTCTTGCTCTCTCATCCAGGCTGGAGTGCAGTGGCATCGATCTGCTTCACTGCAGAGCTTTCTGCCTCTTGGGCGTTTAAGCAATTCCCTGCCATCTTGGGTTTAACCAATTCTCCTGCCCTCAAACCCTCCTGAGTAAGGTCTGGGATTCTCAGGGGCCCCAGCACCGGCCATGCTTGGCTACTTTTACATTTTTTACCCAGAGAACAGGCCTCATGCCATGTGGCCCCAGGCTGGTTTGCAACTCCCTGACCTCAACAGGTGATCCACCTGCTTTGGCCTCCGCAAAAATTGCTGGGATATAGAACATAGAGCCAACCGTGCCTGGCTCTTTAGCTTTTTGTTAGCCTTAATCCAAAAGCTAAGATGGCCCTGGAGGTGACTTAAAAATGTTTAGGATTAAAAAATCATCCATCTGACCTCACAACTGGTGGGGTGCTTGGAGACTGGATACTAACAGTAGATCCCTTGGCCTTTGCAGGGAGAGTTCCTGTCCTCAGCCTGAGAGGCGTGCCAGGGGTGTGGCTGGGTCTGGTCCCTTGTTGAAGGGACTCTTCTGTGTGGCATCCATGGCATGTGGATGGTTCGCGTGTGTCTTTCTTTCTGCTCTCACTGTTTTCTTTCATTCGCCACTTGGAAGGAGCAAGAAGTGGAGGCTGGGCCAAACCCAAAAGGGCAGGTGTGCCTTGTGCTTGGCCCTGGAGCTTCCTGTGGGTTGAGGGCTGTGTTGTTGCTACAGAAGTGCTTTGTGAGGTCGTGGCTGCTCCAGGAAAAAGTGCCCTGTCTTGAAGTGGGAGGAAGTTATCTCTCAATGGGTTTTCTGTTTCGGGGCAGCGAGATGCTGGTATGTGCCCTTGGAGAGATCCTGGTCTAAATCAGGCAGAGGGTGAGTGAAGAAAATGCATACATAAGGAGCCTGCTCAGGGCCAGTGGTTGAAAGGCCAAGTCCTGCTCTTGAAACTGTGCATCTGAACTTCAAACTGCTGCTTCCGAACCACCTGAGACGATGGACGGGAAGGTGTGGAGGCCCACATGTGAAGGTTGCCAGCTGGGCTTCGGGTGTGCTGTTGAAATGCTCTCTGGGAAACCCCATAGTATATCTCCAAAGCCTTAGGCTCATTGAAAAATGCTGGTGACAGATGGACCTCACTGGTTCTGCCAAACTGAGTTCTACATATCATGAATGTATTGTGAGAACCCTAAGACGTCTCTTTGTACTAACTGTTTCAACTTTGTGTTTCTTTAGGGTGGTACCGAGGTTATACCTTAAGAAAAAAGTCTAAGAAGGTAAGTCCTTCTTCTTAAACACAGTGCATGTCTCTTCATAAATCAAACCTTGAAAAGAAATCAATTCCATCTCATTTGTGTCTGAGAGTTTTACTTCTGTATCTCTTTCTCTGAATTAAAAAAAATATATGGGTAGGAATGTGAACGACCTTGGATTGTTTTCTTCTGAACTATACGTGTATATAGAAATTGTAGCTTCATCTTCGTGAATGAATTGCTGGGTTGTGATATAGTGTTGGCCTGTTGTCGTCTGTTCCTGAATTTTGCGTCCTTTTTAGGCCTCAGTGTGTCAGAGAATGATCTGAATAAAGCGACTTCAGGGAAAAAATTATTTCTCAAAGTTGTCAATCTTACGTTGTCCTTAATAATAGATTAGCAAATTTACAAAGCTCACGCGTACTGTTTCCCTCTTGCATTTAACTAATTTTTCATGGCCTAAGTCGAGCTGTGAAAAAAGGAGTTCTGCTCTCCTAGAGCAGTTTGCATGAGTGGTTGTTTGAATTGCTGAAACCAAGACGTGTAATTATACCTCGGATCATTGTGGTGGGCACTCCCGTACACAATTCTGTTGTGGCTTTAACATTCTTAGCTTCTCAGAACCTAATTATGGCTCTTCGGTTTCATTCTGTGATGTTAAGATTTTGAAGTAACCTCTATTCTAAGCTGTGGTTGGGCCGTCCACGTTAACTGATACATTTTCATATCTAATTATGCTTGATGGATGGTTCATTTTACTTTTGTGTCCTAAATTTGCCTCTCATCATCTCTTTATTGGGCTGGACTCTGGAGTGTGGTCCTGAGCCTGTAATAAGTCCTCCAAAGTCTAGCGACCTGAGTGCCAGGGCCTTCCCACTCTGCCCTCCCCAGAGCCCCTAACCCAGGCTTTGCTGAGCAGGTCAGAGTGGGTCTTCCTCTCGCTGCACCAGCACTTGGGGAGGGTCCAGGGTGGTCCCTATGGCAGCCATCCTCTGGCACCGTCATGTCTAATGTGAGAGACACTGTTAGGAAATCAGTGAGCCAGATCTGCAAATTGGGACCAGGACCTCTTACCTCGGCCTTGCCAGCCTCAGACTGGGCTTCAGGTCTCTACACATCCAGTGACCTACAGCCATGAAGTTGGGACGAGATAGATTCGACCCAGTGGATGGTGGAGTAGATTTCTCCAAGGAAAGTTCTATTTGCCCATTGATTTTCCCTTCCACAGTCAAGAGTGAATTCCAGCCAGGCCCAGTGGTATGCACCTGTAGACCCAGCTACTGGAGAGACTGAAGTGGGAGGATTGCTTGAGCTCAGGAGTTTGAGACCAGCCTCGGTTGGTCATGATAAGTGAGATCTGTCCCTAAAAAAAAACAGTGTATTCCTGCAGATGAAACTCTGAATTTGGGAAAGCTGCAGTTGAAACCTTTAGTAATAAGAGATGAAGATCATGGAGTAATACGCCCCTCCCCCATCCCACTCCTACATAGGACACAGCTGCCGCATCCTGGGCTGGATGTGCCCCAGGCAAGCTGTTCCTTTTTCTTTGAATCTTGTTTGGTATTTGTTATCACCTTCCCCAATTTGAGATCTCCTCCATTCCCACGATGTCTCCCCAAACCACAGTACTTTTGCACTACACCTGGGTGCCTAGACGTTATAACTCATTCATAACTCATCGACACAGTAGAGCTGGGTAGGGCATAGCTATTTTTCCATCTAAGATCCCCACTGGTAGATGAAGAAATTCAAGCTTTACAGAGATTGTAAATTTGTAAGGGGCCTCCCAGGCAGTAGCAGAGAAGGGATGTGGGTCCCAGGAATCCTCACACGACGTGTCTGTAAACGACTTTCCTGTAGTTAAAAGTGTGCAGTTGATCGGGGTGGTGCTGAGCAGGCCCAGCGGAAGTTGTGCATTTCAAACCCGCACGTGTGTTCAGCCTCACGCAGTCATTATCCTTCCTGTGGCGTCATGATTCTCCAGTGGGTTTGCTGAGATTGAGGGCTGTCTCCGCCTGTGGACATGGACAGGACTGGGATTGGTTTTTCGTTTTTCTCCCCCATCTGGGTGGACACCTATTGCTGTCATGGTAAGACATCCCGGCGTGTACCTGGGATTTGGAGGTGTCCCGGATAACCAGGACCTGAACACAGCAACCCAGCGTTGGGTCCCTTCAGACTTCTGTTTTTTTTTTTTAAGTTAATGTTTTATTTTTTTGGAGGCAGGGTCTCACTTTGTGGCTCAGACCAGAGTACAGTGGCATGATCATAGATCACTACCACCTCGACTTCCTGGGCTCAAGAGATTCTCCTCCCTCAGCCTCCCAAGTAGCTGGGACTACAGGTGCACACCACCATGCCTAGCTAATTTGTAAAAAAAATTTTGGCAGAGACAGGGTCTCACCATCTTGCCCTGGCTGATGGTGAGCTCCTAGGCTCCTAGGCTCAAGTGATCCTCTCACCTCGGCCTCCCGAAGCGCTGATTGCAGGTGTGCACCTCTGAGCCTGGCCCGGCCTTGTTTGTTGCTGAGCCTCTGACTCTCTGCCTGATGCCTTCCCTCTCTGTGATAATTCTTCTTTCTATGGAGTTTGGCCACTTTCCTTGTTGGCAGAAGCAACATGAATCATTGGTGCCTGCTAGACCTGTTCAGCCCGCTGCCTGCCCCCTGCCCTTCCCAAGCTTGAGTAGTAGTTTGTTTTCTGCATCATTCAGGGCTGGATGCTGGGGAAACCCAGGCAGAAGCTTCCGTTCCCACAACAGATGCCTTGAAGCCACAGGGGTGCCAGTTAATCAATTTCTGCTGCATGCACTAAATTTCTCGGAGGAAGTGGTAGCTGGGTTTCGTTGCACTGCCCAAGACCCCAGCCCCATTGCCTCTTTTCTTACCTTCCTTTGCTTGCCTCTGCTTTACTCTAGTAAGGGAGTTATTTTGCTTGCTCAGGAAGCAGGACCCTAAGTTTTTCTTTCTTTCTTTATTTTTTCCTGAGGCAGAGTGTTGCTCTGTCACCCAGGTTGGAATGCAGTGGCAAGATCTCTGCTCACTGCAACCTCCACTTCCCGAGTTCAAACGATTCTCCTGCCTCAGCCTCCTGAGTAGCTGGGATTACAGGCATCCACCACCACACCTGGCTAATTTTTGTATTTTTAGTAGAGACGGGGTTTCACCATGTTGGCCAGGCTGGTCTTGAACTCCTGACCTCAAGTGATCCACTTGCCTCGGCCTCGCAAAGTGTTGGGATTACATCCCGCCTGGCCTAGGACCCAAACTCTTGATAAAGCTATTCCTGGCACTTCATAGAATGTGCCTGAGGCTGAATGTCCCATTGAGAAACTCTCCCGCAGGCTTCATTCTCTCAGCTCACATGTGCATTGCACTTGAGAGAGGCAGGCCACCTTATCAGCGGAAGCTAGGGTGTGCCCCCAGGTGTTGTGCAGATCGGGTGAAATTCGGCCTGCCTTCCTGTATTTTACCAGAGAGCCCCCCTGTTGGGGAGGTCTCTGAGAAAGTCCTCGTGGGTCTGGGTACGTGGTCAGTGCACAAGGGACAATTGGTGGTGTAAACCAACTTTCATCATTTCAGAAGAGGAGACCATCACCAAAAATTGCTTTGGAGGCATCAGTTGGCCTTTGATCTGCCTGTGTTGAGGCCAAAAAGGTGTGACCTATGGAGCAGCCTGCGAATTGCCTGTATCTTTGTGGACTTTTTCCTTTGCATGTGTGTTGTCTGTTTGCTTCTAAGACATCGGCAGACTCTGTACGATGAGCCGAGTGAGTTGCCGTCTTCTCCATTCTTTGTGTTTTCTTTGATGTGTTACATATGGGGCGTAGCATAAGACTTAAAAAATTAAGAGCGATCTGGCCACCGCTCATCCCACCTTTTTGGGTACTATTGTTTGATTTGCAATCAGCAATCCTATTGATAATAAAAGCTACTTTTTTTTTTTTTCCTCCAAAGGGTATATTTCCTGCTTCATATATTCATCTTAAAGAAGCGATAGTTGAAGGAAAAGGGTGAGTCTGGTCTTGATGTTTAAATGAAGAATTGCGATGACTGTATTTGGCCTTGCTGCTCTTTCGTATGATGGCGTAATATCAGAGGGTCAAGACAGTGGGTGTGATTGACTCCAGGGGGACAGGAGTTTTGGGGAGAGAAAGGGGACTTGTGATTCAGAGTTGTGTTTAACATGGCTTTGATCCTTTACAGAGTCTGAAGTCAGTACCGTGCTTGCACTTACTGTCCTTGAACCTGGGGTCACTGTTGGAAAGCATTTGCCCTGGTGCTCTGTGCTTCCTCTGTGACCTACTGACTTCATTTGACAGAGACTCCAAAGCCCCCCAGCTCTGAGTCCCTTTTTTTTGGGGGGGGAAGACATTGCAGGCTGTGATATAAATGGAGTTTAGGGTGAAGCAACAGTTGCTAAATTGGGACATACATGAGTTTACATTTTGTCTAATTGTGATGTATGTGTCCTAGAGGTCATAAAACTGATGTATAAGATCATTAAAAGGACATTTCTAGAACAGGAACCCATTAGGCAGGAATGGCAAATGAATAAGCAGGTGTGAACTTGGAAGAAGGAACATTAAAATGTTTTCTTTTTTTGTCTCTGCTGCATCTTCACACTCAGTTAAATACGTAAATTATAAAATTACTAATCATATGATTACTGCATAATGACATCTCTTTGGCTGATTACAAAATTGCCTTTCCAAGCACTGTACTTTTAACATACGAAAGGGACTGTTCGGGTTCCATAGTTCCATGATGCATCAGTAAAACGAAGAAAATAATTGAGAGGCATGAACGATGATGACCTACAATATGGTACTTTTTAGACAGATTAAGTGTTTTGTATGCAAAGTTTTAAAGGGAAGAAAAAGAAAGTTGAAACTTCTACTGTGTGGAAGTAACTGAATCAAGTGTGAATTTAGTGTACTTTGTATCTGCATTAGAATCCTTATACAGAGGAGACTGTGTATGATTATTTAAAAAGCACTTTGATATATACAAAAGAATATGTGTAAAATGTAATTATGAAGCATGATAATAAAGTGGACAACAGCTTATTCTGAGTCTCAGTAAATAGAGTCACACCTAACCAGACAGGCAGACAGAGGCACATTTGGTTCCTGTTTCTGAGCCTTCTGGTCCAAGGTGCCCCGCTGTGGGCAAATGCATAGAGTTATGGTGAAATGAAGAGTTTAGAAACAGTTTCCCTGCTGTTGCTTTGGGTTCCCTGTGATTGTTCCCCACAGTCTTTACCTGGCTCTATCTGTCTCCCTTGCTGCGGCCACTCAAGTCTAGCTGCCCAACTGCTCTGAAGAACCCTGGCTTCAGGCTTGACAGGTGATCTCATCCCTCTTTTCTTCCAGGTCGTTGTAGACTTCCGCCTTCCCTTCTTCTCCTGGTCCTTTCCCCTTTCCAGTGCCAATGTGGACCACGCTATCATCCCACCTCTGCCTGCCTTCTTGCTCTCCAAGTTTATTGTCCTGTCTCTCTTGTAGAGTCTCTCTCTTTCAGGATCTGTCTCTTGCTCCTCTCTTGCATGATCGTTCTCATATGGTCTCTGTCTTGCAGGCTGCCTTGTCAGCCCCTCTTTCTTGCATGATCTCTCTCTGGAGTGACCTGTTTCTTGGAGGCTCTGTCTTTCTCTTGCAAGGCTCTCTCTCGTGATCTCTCTCACAGTATCTCACTTGCATTGACTGTCTTGAAGGTTCTCTTTTGCTTCGTCTCTTTTGTCTCTGGACGCTGACTTCATTCATTCTCAGACCTCCCAAATGATTACTCTATGCCTGTTACCACTGATTCTGTACCTGTTCCCCCATAACCAAAGCCATTCTCATTTTGTCCCCCATGCTTTTCCCGGTACTGTCATGGTTAGCAATGCCTCCTTGTGTCCAGACCTCGCAGCGTCTTCTCATCCTCTGCCTCCGGAGCTCTACTGCAGCCTTGGACACTGTTGATCCCCGTTTCACTGAAAGCTCCTTTTAACTCCGACGCGCTCATCGTCTTCTTGTTATGCTGACCTACTGCTCAGGCATGTCACCATCTCCTCTGTTCCCTGTCTGCTACTCTGAGGGTGCTGTCCTAGCCTTCTCCTGTTTCTTTGTTGCCCCTCCTTGATTGGCATGGCCTCTGTTGTGTTCCCCTCTTCAGCTGATCTGTCTCTATGGGTGATGCTCACATCGGGACCTCCAGCCCCGACTTGTCTCTTGACCCCTCATTCAGTTAGGCAGCCAAGTAACTAATGAGAGTCATCCCCACTGTTGGGTGAGCATCTGTTATGTCCTATTTGTTCTCTTCTCCAAAAAAATTATTATTACTATTTTTATTTTGTATTGTATATTTTTATTTTTTGAGATGGAGTCTTGCTCTGTCACCCAGGTTGAAGCGCAGTGGCGAGATCTTGGCTCACTGCAACCTCCGCCTCCCAGGTTCAAGTGATTCTCCTGCCTTAACCTCCCCGGTAGCTGGGACTACAGGCATTCACCACCACGCCCAGCTAATTTTTGTGTGTGTGTTGTTTTTTTTTTTTCAGTAGAGACGGAGTTTCACCATGTTGGCCAGGCTGGTCTTGAACTCATGACCTTAAGTGATTCACCCGCCTTGGCCTCCCAAAGTGCTGGGATTACAGATGTGAGCCACCGTGAAATTATTATTTTTCACCCAAAAAATTATTATTTTTAGATTTGACAAATAAAAATTGTATGTATTTATGGTATACAACATAATGTTTTGAAGTATGTATACATTGTGGGATGGCTAAATCAAACTAATTACGTGTGCATTACCTTACATACTTATCATTTATTTGTAGTGAGAACACTTAAAATCTACTCTCAGCAATTTCAAGTATACAATACATTGCTATTGACTGTAGTCACCATTGCGTAGGATAGGCCTGTTGAACTTATTCCTCCTATCTAACAGAAAGTTGGTATCCCTTCGACCCAGCATCTCCCCACTGCCCTACGTCGCATTCATTCTTTTTTTGGTTTCGGTTTTTTTTTTTTTTTCCTGAGATGAAGTCTTGCTCTGTTGCCAAGGCTGGAGTGCAGTAGCATGATCTTGGCTCACTGCAACCTCTGCCTCTTGGGTTCAAGCGATTCTCCTGTTTCACCCTCCCAGGTAGCTGGGATTACAGGCGCACACCACCATGCCTGGCTAAGTTTTGTGTTTTTGGTAGAGATGGGGTTTCACCATGTTGGCCAGGCTGACCTCGAACTCCTGACCTCAGGTGATCTACCTGCCTCAGCCTCCCGAAGTGTTGTGATTACAGGCATGAGCCACTGTGCCAAGCCCCATTCATTCTTAAAGATGCTCTGCCTTGATGCTCTTTCCTTCAGTCTTACCAGCAGCCCTATGAGGCAGGCATTGTTGGGGTTATATATTCTTGAACCCTGGTGATTGACAAGGTGGTAACAAAGATAAGACCATAAAGCCAGATCAAATGCGTTAGTGCCAGCTGGTGCGTTAATCCCAGGGACCCACTGGGCCTATCAGAAGGGAGGAACCTAAGGCGGAACCAGAACCGACAGCAGGACGTGGTACATGCACTGAGGCCCTGTTCACCCTGTTCACACGGTGGAAGGGAGGTCACTGAGCTCCAAGCTTCTCATAGCCAGTGTGAGGAGCCCCCAGTGGACTCCACCCAGGATCCACAAGATGCAAACAGCCCAGTTGTTGTTGCAGATCCTCACAGTGAGCGGAAGGAAATTTCTCCCTGCGGACTTTGTAGGGATGACACCTTAGCCTGTAATGGACCACGTTTCCATCAGCATCCTTACTGGGAAACGTGGGCACCTCCTTGGCAGGCTGGAGTGCAATGGTACAATCTTGAGTCACTGCAACTTCCGCCTCCCAGGTTTAAGTGATTCTCCTGCCTCAGCCTCCTGAGTAGCTGGGACTACAGGCACGCCCCACCATGCCTGGTGAATTTTTTGTTTTTATTTATTTATTTTTAGTAGAGATGGGGTTTCACCATGTTGGCCAGGCTGGTCTCTAACTCCTGATCCACCCACCTCGGCCTTCCACAGTGGTGGGATTACAGGCATGAGCCACCACGCCCAGCCTAAAGGCTCATTCTTCATGACAGTTTTCTAGGGGATGGTCTTACCTGCACCCTTCCCTCCGATGTCTGGTTCTGGAACTATCCACGAGACCACCGTTCTTTTGGGGTCCCTGTTGTCTCTTGCTTTGGGATCCTCCCCTCTGCTATCAATAAGTCATTGCAGGCCTGATCCCCAATCGTGAGCCAAAGTCAGGGTTCCTTCCACAGATCTGGACTCTGTGCACATCAAGGGATGTAGGTGGAACCTATTGTAGCGTCCCTCAGGATTCCATACTGGCCACATTCTTGCCTGTTCAGGACACACAGACAACCTGTGGGACCAGCTAGCCTAACTACACCAGCCACAAATTCACTCTCTCCCCCTAACCCCCGGTAGTCTGAGTCTTACTTGGCATAGTGCCTGACCCAGAGCACATGCCCAGGAAGCAACAGTTAATTTGATGAAAACCAGCACATAAATAGGTAATGAGTTAAGAATAAGTCAAGGGGCTGGGCGTGGTAGCTCATGCCTGTAATCCCAGCACTTTGGGAGGCTGAGGTGGGTGTATCACCTGAAGTCAGGCGTTTCAAGACCAGCCTGGCCAATGTGGTGAAACCTCGTCTCTACTAAAAATACAAAAATTAGCCGGGCGTGGTGGCGGGCACCTATAATCCCAGCTACTTGGGAGGCTGAGGCAGGAGAATTGCTTGAACCCAGGAGGCAGAGATTGCAGTGAGCTAAGATTGCACCACCGCACTCCAGCCTGTGTGACAGAGCAAGACACCGTCTCAAAAAAAAGAATGAGTCAAAGGTTAACTTTTTGGGGTGGAAGAAAAAGGGTAAGAAAGAGGATACAGAGTTTGATCCAAGTTGGCATCAGATAGAGTAACCATGGACATTTGGAAGCTGTAACCTCTCATATTTCGCCAAGGATAACTGCTTCATGTATTATCATGTAATGTGTTTTATGCATGATGGAAAACGTAAAAATCATCTTAACCCAAACCTGCATTTTAATGCCACATGGACCAGCTATAATTTATGGCATCTTTAAGATAGATGGGTACACATATTATGAATATACTTTCCTTTTGCCAGACCTTGACGTTCTGTAGACTTTTAATGGAATATCATTTGCCTCCTTCATCTTACTTTGACGTATGAGGTGGATGGCTTACGTGCAGGGTAATGTATGAACCTTCCCAAGCTCTGTACAAATATAACTTGTCATTCGTGGAGACGTGTGTATTTATATGTGTGAATGCAGTCTTATTTGTAGATTTTCTTCCCATTTGCTTAATACTGAGCACTATGGCCTAGTGGTGAAATTTACAGGTACAACTCACAGCAGGCAGTGAAACCGTGGACTCAGCTGCTCTTTCCTTCTTTCCTCCCAGGCAACATGAAACAGTCATCCCGGGTGACCTCCCCCTCATCCAGGAAGTCACCACGACACTCCGAGAGTGGTCCACCATCTGGAGGCAGCTCTACGTGGTGAGAAAATGAGATATTCATTCAAAGCTTAGAAATAGAGAGAAAGCTTTTTTGACCCTGATTTGCCAATGGGATGATTTTCTTTCTCAGCGAACCTTAAAAGCAGAGCTTCTGAGACAGAGTTTTACTCAGCAAAGGCAAAGGAAGCGACATGACTGAGAGTTTAGCCCCTTTTGGGGGCTGTGTGCCCTTCGACCTGCCATGTATTTGGGTGTATTACAGTGAGCTGTAGCGGAAGGGACTATCGGATGTGTCTTTCTTTGCATTGGAAGGAGAAATGTGGTTGTTTTTAGGCCCCTGGAACACGGGATCGGGCAGTGTGTTGATGTCACCTTTTAAACAGTAATAGGTGCTTATTTAAGGATTCAGTAGAGGGTAATTACTATTTATTTATTTATTTATTTTTGCCATTGTCTGACAGTGGGTAATACCTCTTATCATTTAAGAAAAACAGCAGAGTCTTCTAGATTTACCCGTGTTTGTGACAGGGATAGGGAAATATTTTACATTCCAGCTTCGTGTGCAATTGTCCAGTTCTCCTGATCACAGAAGAAGTCTTATTAATGCAGAGAGGTTGAAGCTCTGACATCTTCCATTTCATATTCCCTCAGGGCATTTCTTTGCACATAAATTCATATTTGCAGAAGATTACCTTTTGTTAAGCTTGTATTTCTATTCAGAGTGTTGATTTCCCATATGCTAATGTTATTATCACCAAGCCAGGGCTGTGGAAGGAAGTCGGTACGTTAATTTCTTGAGAACATAGAAAACTTCCTGAAGTCCTGCAGCTGCTTGTTGGGCAGGCTTGTTGTTTTTGATTATACAGTGGTTTCCTGTAAATGCACAGTAATAAGCAGTTGCAGTAATTGTCATCAAACGTAGTCAAAAACCTAAAAGCGTAAAGTTAGCCATGAATGTTTTGTGTAAATCTGAGCAATTCTGTAGTCAATGTTTCATCTTCAGCTTAGCAATTTTTAAACAAAAATACGGCAACAAAAGAAACAGGAGTTGATGCTAATAGTCAGTGGACCTCCTTCAGTCTATCACCCTAGAGTAGGTATTCTTCATGAGCACTTTCGTTTCCTTTTACAAAACTTGAATTTGCCTCTGATAGACTTACATGGTTGGATTTGTGCAAAGAAAGCCAAGCCAAAAAATGGTTATAATATTTTTCTATGGGTTGGGTGCAGTGGCTCATGCCTGTAATCCCAGCACTTTGGGAGGCTGAGGCGAATAGATCACCTGAGGTCAGGACTTTGAGACCAGCCTGGCCAACATGGCAAAACCCCATCTCTACTAAAAATACAAAAATTAACTGGGTGTGATGGAGTACACCTGTAGTCCCAGCTACTCGGGAAGGAGAGGTAGGAGAATTGTTTGAACCTGGAAAGTGGAGGTTGCAATGAGCCAAGATTGTACCATTGCACTCCAGCCTGGGTAACAGAGTGAGACCCCTTCTCAAAAAAAAAAAAAAAAAAAAAAAAAAAAAAAAAATTCATAAGAGTTTTTGGCTCTGCTCTGTGGTCGTAGATATTAGCAAACTATTAAGGATTTTAGATAGTTGATACAGCCTTAGAGCAGTGGACAAGAGAAGGCAGTGTGGATATTAGAAACTCCTAGAAAGAAGGTTAAATACCAGTGTGAGGTATGTGGTTCAGTTATGTAGAAGGGGAGCTTTTAAAAAAAGTGGCAGTGAACACAATTAATGTTTTAAAGGGACCATGACATTTAGATATCTTTTTTATTTATTTATTTTTTGAGACAGGGTCTTGCTCTGTCGCTCAGGCTAGACTAGAGTGGCACGATCACAGCTCCCTGCAGCCTGAACCTCCTGGGCTCAAGTGATGCTCCCACCTCAGCCTACTGGGTAGCTGGGACTACACCTGTGAGCCACCATGCTCAGCTAATTTTTTAATTTTTGAAGAGATGAGGTCTCCTTATGTTGCCCAGGCTGGTTTCCAACTCCTGGGCTCCAGCAATCCTCCCGCCTCTGCTTCCCAAAGTGCTAGGATTATAGGTCTGAGCTCCCAAGGCCAGCAATGCTTAGAATTTTATCACATTAGGTTCCACCTAGATTTCTTTTCATGGAGAGAACCACTGAGTTATTTTCCTTTAGATAATCTCTAATCTCCTTGATCATTGTACACTTGTAATTGCAAGCTGCAAACTGTTGCTTTTCTTTGAACCGTCAGTCCCATCAAAATTCTTAGAAAGTGGTAAGAAGTGTGAGTTTTGCATCTTATTTGCATTTTCCTTTTGTCACAGAAGCACCAATAGCTTGTAGATTGAGATTTGGCCTCTTGCAGAAGTGTCTCTTGTGGGTTGTACACACCACAGTGTGCAGCAGCCAGCCCAGAGTGGAATGCTTCTTCTTCCCTATAGTTCAGCTGAGAGCAAGGCCGAGGAGTTCAGGTTCTCAGTGTGCTGAGAAGGGTCCAGGGTGCAGGGTGTTCTGAAGACCATATGCAGGTTGTAGGATTCAGATCTTTAGGCTCAGACTAATTCTGGAGGAGCTTTAAGAGTTGCCCGTCTCTGATCCAGATGCAGGAAGCTCACGAGCAGGTGTTGACGTTCAAGGTCTAGCCCGTGTTGGGATCACTTTTTTGCTTCAGTGGCACGTAGAATGTTGGATGAAATCTTGGGGATTATGCATTACTTTTTATTCTTTTAATATTTTAATGTCTCATGGAAAACCAAATCCAAATAATGTGTTTCAGTGTATGCTGAAAGCACCTTTTAATTCAACATTAACTAAATCTCATGATCTAGTGCTTATACCTCATGTGTATTTGAAGAGATATCCATTCTCTACCATCTTCACAATGCTGTTTGATAACAAAATCTTTATGATTGGGTTTTTCCCCCTGTATAGCAAGATAACAGGGAGATGTTTCGAAGTGTGCGGCACATGATCTACGACCTTATTGAATGGCGATCACAAATTCTTTCTGGAACTCTGCCGCAGGATGAGCTCAAAGAACTGAAGAAGAAGGTTACAGCCAAAATTGATTATGGAAACAGGTTTGTTTATTTGAAAGATGATTTCACGCTTAAATTATCCAATGTAATAACATCACTATAAGCCTTCAAGAGACCAAGATCACATTTTATCATAAAACAAAATTTCTACTCTCAAAATAATGGCATGTTTTTCATTTTGAAAAGGATGAGGTATTTTCCATTGGATTCTGAACAGGGGAATTTTGTGAGCCATTCTTGAAACCTTGTCATTATTCAAGGGATAGAGCCAAGAAGCCAGGGAGCCTGTCGTTTTCACCGTTCTGGAGGGAACCGTATCATTACTCCCGTAGCAAGGAGCTTTTACTTTCTGATCATAGTTTTTGACGTTGAGTCCAGATCTGGTGGGGCCTTGTGTAGTGACAAGCAACAGGTTTCTTTCTGTGGAATCCAAAGTTCTGAGAGTTGGAGTGGACATTAGATCACTGGAAAGTTTGTCACCTGTGTAGGCTTGCCAGATTTCACAAACAGAAATACAGCCCAGTTAAATTTCACTGCAGTAAACAACAAATAGTTGCTTTGTGCAATTATGTCTCTTGCCAGAGCAAGAGCTGTTCCCATCCACAGCAGGCATCCCCCCAGCTCTGCATGAGTGCCTTTAGTGCTCACCCCTGCCTCCAGCTGTACCTTCTAGTGTTAGCACGTGTTTTTTGACGCTGAAAGGAAACAAGCTGCTCTGATCCTAATTCTGCTGGGTCCTGTAACTAGAATGAGGCCAAGACCTTTTCCACCTGATAATATTTGGTTTTTCATAGAATAGCGGAACTGTAAGAAGCCTTAAAAAGTATCTGGCCACATGGTTCCCAAATGCTCTTCTATATCAGAATCACTTGGATAGCTGTTGAATTATAGAATCTCGAAACCTATCCCTTAAGGCTCTGATTTGTGATATCTGGGATGCTGGCTGGAAATCTCAAGTTTTTTTGTTTTGTTTTATTATTATTATTATTTTTTGAGATGGAGTTTCGCCCTTGTTGCCCAGGCTGGAGTGCAGTGGTGTGATCTTGGCTCACCACAACCTCTGCCTCCCAGGTTGAAGTGATTCTCCTGCTTCAGCTTCCCGAGTAGCTGGGATTACAGGCATGCACCACCACTCCTGACTAATTTTGTATTTTTGGTAGAGATGGAGTTTCTCCATGTTGGTCAGGCTGGTCTCCATTCGCACAAAAGGAGGAACCCTAAAGCTCGGAGAAGTTATTTATTCCAAAGCCTGGGCCTGTGTCAGAACTCTTCCAATGGCAGAGCCATGCTCCTTCTAGAATGCCACATGCAAACCGTTACACACAGTAGAGTTGTCACGATCAACCCTTCTACGCATTATTCTCAGCAAACAGTATGCGGCTGGTTCTAAATCAGAGTGAGTTCCACCATTATGAAGGTGCAACTTACCACAACAAGGCAATGGAGAGATGACAGCCCATGGAAACCTAAGGCACCTATGAGGACAGGGTGGGAGCCCCCCCACAACCTGAAAATCATGTGTAGAATTGTGTGTGTGTGTGTGTCTGTGTGTTGCTGTGTTGGGAGGTTGTGTGGCCTGTATGTGTGTATTGTGTATGTGCATTTTTCTACGAGATATGGTCCCAAGACCTTCATCACACATTCTCAAATAGCTCTCCAAACCCCTCCACCCAGGTTAAAATAAATTTCAAAGGCAAGAATGCCTAAGCAGTGAATGAAAAAGACACAAAAACATCTTTTCTTATTAAATCCACCCACCTTAAAACCAAACATTCAACACTGTGATATCATTTTGCATCATATAGGTTTTCTGAGAGAAGCACCAGGAAGATATATGCCAGGGTGCTGGGCTTTGGAGAAATTATGGAGGAGGCTGGAGATCCTGGGCAAAAAAAACCCGTCTTATTAAGGACTGTATTTCCTATCAAAGTAGTAAATTGTAT